CGACGGGGGCTGGATCGAGGTGAGCACGGAGGAGCTGGGGGGGCGGGGCGAGACGGCTCAGCGGGTGAGATGGGCGGGGCTTGCACAAACCCCGCCCAAAGGGCGGGGCAGGGCAAGAAGGACCGCGAGGCATGGAGGGACCCAAGGCTGAGAAGTCTAGCCGGGCTAGCTAGCTAGGGGCGGGTCAGTGCATAGAGTGGGATGGCTGGGGAAGACTTGCGGCCCCAATCCTGACCCTTCCCTTCACCCCACAGATCTCCCACACTTTCACTGATTACGGTCCTGGTGTTCGCTTCGTCCGCTTCGAGCATGGTGGGCAGGACTCGGTCTACTGGAAGGGCTGGTTCGGGGCCCGGGTGACCAACAGCAGCGTATGGGTGGAGCCCTGAGTGACCCCGCCTCCAGCTTCCCTCAGCTGCCCTAGAGGGGCAGAAGCCTGGGGTAGATAGGCCTTAGTCGGGGTAGATAGGCCTTAGTCGGTAGCATCCACACTTTCCCCATCCCGTGCACTCCTCTCCCGCCTCTTACCCCAAGCCCAGCCCCCACACGTGTAGAGAAGGGTTTTGTTGGCATATAGTGGCATCTGGGAAATAAGATGGATGAGGGCTTGGGTTTGGGCCGGGCCTATCACTGAATCCCCCACAACTAGCACAGTGCCTGCCGCAAAGTGGGTGTTCAATAAATATTATTTGTCCAAGGAAGAAATGAATGAACAAACGGATGAATGAACACCCCCTCCCTTTGCATCCTTCTCTGTCTCTTGAGGGCCCTTGGCCTAGCCTGGAAAAATACTTGGTGGGGTTCCAGCTGCTCTGGTTTCCAGGGCCCATTGGGCCAGTATGCAACCCGCCAGGCCTGGGCCGGCTGGACAAAGGCTGGGATTGTGAGACCAAGGAGCGGGGAGCTGGGCCTGGCGCCTGACTGACACCCAAGCTGTCCAGAGGCCAGAACAGGGTGTACGTGGGGGGCCGCCCTCCAGGCCTCTCTTGATCCCCCTCCCCATTCCTTTCTGAAGGCATTGGTGGGTGATGGCAACACTGCATCTAGGGTATGAATTCTCCTGGACCCAGGGATGGGTGCCTGTGACCTGGCATAGGGGATGGACGGGAGGTGGGAGTGTGGGACCACAGAAAGGGTCAGCTTGGTCTCCCTCTTTAGTTCATGCCTACTTCGTGCTGTTTTTTCTGGTCTGGTGTTGAATCGGACAAGAGTCATTAGCATCTGGTCTCGTTGGCCATTTTCCAAGCCCTGCACAGAGGCTGGCCCCTGGCACTGGCTTGAGGGGAGGGGAGGAGGGGAGAGTGTGGTGCCAGGCACTCGCTTTGTGGCCTCCCCAGCAGGTCTCAAACCCAGCACCTCCTTAGGACCCTCAGCTGCTGGTCCTGGGTGGTGCAGGATCTTGAAACACCTGCTCTGCTCTCCGATAGAGTGACCAGTAACATCTCCATGCCCCTCCAGCTTTCCTTTGGTTCTGAGTCCTGATGCCACCTGCTGGTCAGGTGAGATTGCAAGGTTTAATTTGGGGTCTGCCTGCACTTGTTGATTGGTTCATTCATTCACTCATTCATTCCCTCGTGATTCCTGAAGCCCTCATCCTGGGGCAGGTCCTGTGTAGGGCCCTGAAGTGATAGGACCCTGTCCCAGTAAGAGTCAGCGGCCTGGCCACCTCGAGGAGGGGCCTCCCCTGGGAAGGGATCTACCCCCTGTCCTGGGGGGACCTCCGGTCTAACNAGGGTGTACGTGGGGGGCCGCCCTCCAGGCCTCTCTTGATCCCCCTCCCCATTCCTTTCTGAAGGCATTGGTGGGTGATGGCAACACTGCATCTAGGGTATGAATTCTCCTGGGCCCAGGGATGGGTGCCTGTGACCTGGCATAGGGGATGGACGGGAGGTGGGAGTGTGGGACCACAGAAAGGGTCAGCTTGGTCTCCCTCTTTAGTTCATGCCTACTTCGTGCTGTTTTTTCTGGTCTGGTGTTGAATCGGACAAGAGTCATTAGCATCTGGTCTCGTTGGCCATTTTCCAAGCCCTGCACAGAGGCTGGCCCCTGGCACTGGCTTGAGGGGAGGGGAGGAGGGGAGAGTGTGGTGCCAGGCACTCGCTTTCTGGCCTCCCCAGCAGGTCTCAAACCCAGCACCTCCTTAGGACCCTCAGCTGCTGGTCCTGGGTGGTGCAGGATCTTGAAACACCTGCTCTGCTCTCCGATAGAGTGACCAGTAACATCTCCATGCCCCTCCAGCTTTCCTTTGGTTCTGAGTCCTGATGCCACCTGCTGGTCAGGTGAGATTGCAAGGTTTAATTTGGGGTCTGCCTGCACTTGTTGATTGGTTCATTCATTCACTCATTCATTCCCTCGTGATTCCTGAAGCCCTCATCCTGGGGCAGGTCCTGTGTAGGGCCCTGAAGTGATAGGACCCTGTCCCAGTAAGAGTCAGCGGCCTGGCCACCTCGAGGAGGGGCCTCCCCTGGGAAGGGATCTACCCCCTGTCCTGGGGGGACCTCCGGTCTAACAGTGGAGGCATAGTCCCTGCTCTAGGAACATGGTCAGTCTGACAGGGAAGGCAAAACCCTTGACCTCAGAGAATGCCCACCTTGAAGGTGGAGGCACAGCCCTTGCTCCTTGGGCAGTTCTTTCTAGGGGATTTCACAGTCTGGTGCGAAGGGCCTGAGTCCCAATCAGACCAGTGAAGTGATGCTTTGCCCTGGGGGCCCAATTTGATGAGGAGCCATGAAGGAGGAAGTCCCGTTCCTCCCCCCCCCCCCCCCCGTGAGTTCCCATGTTTAAGTAAAGGAGTACTAGGCAATGTGAAGCTTGGGGTGAGGGGCTAGGATGGACATGTGAGGAGCCAGCTGGGGGTGCGTTGAGAGGACCAGAGCCCTTTTGAGGCTATGGGTGGAGGCCTGACAGAGGCGCAGTGGGCGTGAGAGGCAGCGAGTCTGGGTCTGGGGGCCTGTGAAGACTGGATGTTAGGGCAGGAATTTGGGGGGCATGGCAGGTGCTGCAGGTGGGGAGCTCCCCTCATGAGGCATTCAGGAAAGAGGCCCATGAGGGCTCTGGGGCTTTGGGCTGGAGACAACGGAGTTGAAATGTATGTGGCCCGCAGGCACCACTGGTGAGGGCCGGGAGCAAGTGTGAAGTGAAGCAGGAGAGGGCGCAGGGAAACCTCCGTCTCTGGGGCCACGATGGGGACACAGAGCATCCAGGGAGGCGGTGGTGGGGTGAGTAAGAGGGTGCAAGCCCAGCAAGGCCTCCCGCAGCCAATTGTCGTCACTCAGAGGAAAGAGTCAGCAGCCCAGAGGCCATTTTCTCTGCCCTGAGGCAGCTGTGGTCTCTGTCCCCAGGGTACGGGGCTGCAGAGGAGACTTGAGGGTCTCTAATAAAGGGGTGGTCCAGATCCAATGTCCTCGAGTGTCCGTCACTGGAGGGAGCACTGGATCCACTGATGGTATTAACTCGGGGTTGTCAAAGGGCTGACGCTGCAGGGGGAGGTGGGCCTGCAAGTCTCACTGCCTCTGTAACCCAGCTGGGGGACGAGGGGGAGGGCATCGTTGTGCCCGTTCTTCACATGAGGAAACTGAGGATGGGAGACTTTCCTGGCAAATGACACACAGAATAACTGGGGAAGTGCAAGTTTCAATCCAGGTGCATCTGGCTCCGAAGTGCTCCTAATCCCTTAAGTATATTGTCTCTACTCTAAAGGGCAGAGCTGTCCCCCTNCTATTGCTGCGCGTGCTGGCGGAGCTGCCGGGCGCGGAGCTAGTGCAGGCCTGCCGCCTGGTGTGCCTGCGCTGGAAGGAGCTGGTGGACGGCGCCCCCCTGTGGCTACTCAAGTGCCAGCAGGAGGGGCTGGTGCCCGAGGGCGGCGCGGAGGACGAGCGGGACCACTGGCAGCAGTTCTACTTCCTGAGCAAGAGGCGGCGAAACCTGCTGCGCAACCCGTGCGGGGAAGGTGAGGGACAGGCCCTATTACCCCCTGGCTGGGGGGCTCAGCTTCCTCTTCTGGAAAATGGGCCATAACAATGCTAGCTGGCTTTGAGGGTTAAATGAGATAAAGCCCTTGGCATAGTGCCCAGCACAGAGCCCCATTAGACACTGTATTATTATCTCCCCATCTGCCTGCTCCCTGGAAGGGGGGGGGGTTCTCTTTCTCAGGTCCTTCCACCCTCTGTGAGCCGGGGCAAGATAGGCCCTGCAGAGGACTCTCCCAGGAGGGAGAGAGAGTCTGGAACAAACAGGAGGTGCCTCCCACTCAACCCGCCATCATCACACCCTTCACGTACCATTTCGCCCAGCCCAGTCCACAGAGGCCATACATAGACAGGGCTGCCACACGCTCAGCAGGGACTGGGTGACTCCAGGGGTCTGTCTTGTTCCTACAGAGGATTTGGAGGGCTGGTGTGACGTGGAGCACGGTGGGGACGGCTGGAGGGTGGAAGAGCTGCCTGGAGACTGTGGGGTGGAATTCATCCACGATGAGGGTGTAAAGAAGTTCTTCGCCTCCTCCTTTGAGTAAGCAGGTGGAGGGTTGAGGGGCAGGAGGGAAAGGGGCCTCCGCTCCCTCCTAACTCCATGTCCCCCAGGTGGTGTCGTAAAGCGCAGGTCATTGACCTGCAGGCTGAGGGCTACTGGGAGGAGCTGCTGGACACCACTCAGCCGGCCATCGTGGTGAAGGACTGGTGAGCGCCTTGAGGGGCTGAGGGCGGGGTGGACGGACTAAAGCTATGACTTTGCTTCAGGGGCTGCTG